CGTGGGGAACTACCACCGTGGACGGGGTATTTCCGAAGCCACGAGGTCTCAGCCTGCCCAGAAGGTACTGAGGCTGAGAACAGCCTTGGGGACAGAGGAATCCCGGACAGCGACATGGTGGGTCGTAGGTCCAGACCAAGCAACCCGAGGTAGTCTCATCTGATGTACCTAAGGGACCCTGAGGTCACTGACACCAGGGATACCCGAAGCATGACTTCCGGCGTTTAGTAGCATTGAGACAAGAAGGATTCTGGGAAACGTAGTTCAAGACTGGCCACCCACGCACAAGAGTGGCCAAGCTTGACGTAGAATGCATGACCCAAACCCCTTCCCCTGGAACTGTTGGCCAGCCCTGGATGGTTATCCGTAACTGATGGGTGAAAAAACAGATTCCGGAGTAAGAGGCAGACCAAGGTCATAACACAATCTGTGGGCCAGCTTTTATCCTTCCTAAGGAATTCCATCCCCATCTTTTTAGGCAGTGAAGATTCAAAAGTAGATAACCCTAAGTCAGTCTTGAATTGCCTTTGTTCCTGGTAGAGTGTATGTTTGAATTTGTCAATTTCTCCTTGTGATTCTCGGTTTTTTGCTTAATGAATATCCTCAGGCTATATATTATTCAGGAACAGATAACATTGAAATCATGATATGCTCCTGGTGTTACTGTCTAGGGACGCTGGGTTAGTTGCCTAAGTTCAGCAAAGAATTGAAGAACAGGATACAGAGACAGTAAGGAAGTAGGTGTATTGCAAAAATGAGAGACTTCTTGGAAAAGCGGCCCCACAGCTGGGAACTCGGTGTTTTGACCACTTCTATTGTCTCTGGAATTTGGCTCCTCCCCAGTCCATACACTACTCTTTATTGATTGGTGCCCCGTGTCTAGGAGTCTGTTTTTTCAAAATAGAGCCGCTGCTTAGTAGCACAAGTACAGAAGTGTGTGTCTGGCTTGCCGCTTGTGTCCAGGAGCACTTTCGTCAAACAGGAAGTTGAGTTCATCAGAAGATCCTCTCCAAGTTCCTTTGTTCTGGACGCGCCCCCGACCTCCTTACTTGCCATCTTGACCTGGCTGCACAAGCCCTTCTGTATCTCCCTCACTGGTGAACCGAAATTTTACGGCTCTAAATGAATTTAGCCTCTAATTTTAAACATTTGCCTTATAGTCTATTTTAAGTTGAGCCCATTTACATTTAAATTAGTAAAATCTAATTTTTTAAAATATTTTTTAGTTGTAGTTGGACACATACCTTTATTTCACTCATTTTTTGTGTGGTGCTGAAGATCAAACCCAGGGCCTTGCACGTGCTAGGCATGGGCTCTACCAATGAGCCACAACCCCAGCCCCCAATCTAATTTTTTTCTATTATTCAATCTTGCATTTTTTGGTGTTTTTTTTTTTCTGGCTATTTTATTTAATATTTATTTTTTAGTTGTAGTTGGACACAATATCCATTCATTTACATATTATGTGGTGCTAAAGACCAAACTAAGGGCCCAGCACTTGCTAGGCCAGCACTCTACCGCTGAGAGACAACCCCAATCCCCTTCTTCCTATTAAATAGCTGCCTCCCCATCTTTTCCTTAATGTCTGCCTTGCCCCCTTACACCAGGTTCTGAGAATTAAGCTCAGAAGTGCTCTGCCTTTGAGTTACATCCACAGTCCTTTTTATTTTTATATTAATACAAGGTTGCTTAACCACTGAGCCACATCTCCAGCCCCRTTCCCTCTTTTTGGGAAACAGGGTCTCTGAGGCTGGCCACCAAGACTGTGTTTTGATATTATGTACATTTTGTATGAAATGATCAGGCAAGTATTTGCCAGCAAGAYAATTTCTTGGGGCTGGGGTTGTGGGTGAGTGTTTACATACCATGAGTGAGGCACTGGGTTTGATCCTCAGAACCACATTTTAAAAAAAAAGATTTCTCACTTATCTATTACACTGAAGTAGACATGACACGACTTGCTTTATGTTAACAATTGCACAATGTAAATGTGAATTTTTTTTGTTGGGGAGCGGATACTAGGATGGAACCCTGGGCTTTACCACTGAGCTACACCCCCAGCCCTTTTTTAGACAGGGTCTAAATTGCTGTTGGCGGCCTGGATCTTGATATCCTCCAACCTCAGGCTTCCATTCCTCTTCAGGGTCAGACTTTCCCCACCCATGCCGGAGTATTCCATGTGCCCCAGCCAGGCTCACAATTTTGGGTGCATTTGAATTCCAATCATACCTGACCAAGCACATACTGTCAGGTCCAAGACCTTAGCCAACCAAGCATAACTGGATAGACAGGGGGAGTAAACGCATGTAGCACTACACCCAGTTAATTTTTTTCTAGATACAAAATGGGTATGGTTGGATGTGTACTACACATCTGTACTAAAGATAAAATGACTACATTGGATTCTTTCAAAGTGTGGTCCCTAGTACAACAGCATTAGAATCCCTTGGGGATTTGTTAAAAATCACAAATCTTTAGTTCCCATCACCAAATTAACTGAATCAGAAACTGGAAGTAGAGCACAGCTACAAGCCCACTAGATGACTGTAAGGTGCACTGACATTAAGGAACCATTAAATAAAAATAATATGGGGAGAAGCCGGTCCTGGTGGCTCATCCCTGTAATCCTAGTGGCTCCAGAGGCTGAAACAGGAGAATTGCAAGTTAAAACCCAGCCTCAGCGAGGTGCTAAGCAACTCAGTGAGACCCTGTCTCTAAATAAGATACCAAATAGGGCTGGGGATGTGGCTCAGTGGTCGAGTACTCCTGAATTTAATCCATGGTACCCGCCCCCCCCCAAAAAAAAATCCTGGTCAGGAGAGGACTCTTGTGCCAAACAGGACATCGTATCATCATTGCTTTACATGACTAAATCATTGTCTATGCCATTATCAGTGGTTAGCTACCAAATTCCAGAAACAAGTTTCTCATAAAATAGCTTCTTTCTTAAATCTGAAAAAAGAACACCTTAAAAATGTAGAATACATATATAGGGAAAGCAGAGAAAAAGCGCATGAAACTTTGTATTACAAAGGACAAGAATTACCTACTTATGCAATTCATGATCATTCCCCAAAATAGACTAATAAGATACACATTAATGCAGTCACATTAACTGAATTTTGACTTTCCAAGGTTAAAGTCAATTTCAAATGGCTCTTTGTTGACATTCACTGAAAAAAAAGAAAAGAAAAATTGGTAACATTCTATATCAAGTTACACTGTTGAGGAAGGATGCAACTTTAAAAAAAAAAAATCTTCAGGACAATTTAGGTAACAGAATTCTGTCCATGGTCTGAGTGGGCTAAGTTTCTTACCCCAACCCATCT